CCCCAAAACCCCAAAACCCCAAAACCCCAAAACCCCAAAACCCCTTCCTAAAGCTAAAGTTTATAATAAATTATCTATACTTTAAATATGAGCGACGGTAAGAAGAGAAATGAACTAGCAGGAATGGAATTCTTTGATGACTACCCCATCAGAACCACTAGAAGGACCAGGAACATGACTAAGAAGGCACAAGAAAATGAACAGAGCCTCATTAAGCAAAAGGCTTCCGGTAAAAAGAAGAAGTTGACTAGGAATAGTAGGAGTAGAAGCAGTAGAGGATCTAAACGCAATGCTCAGTAAGTAAACTTATTCAACTGACATCAGTAGATGGAACTAATGTATCATAGGCCAAAGATGTACGAAGATGAATACGAGATCAGTGATGAAGAAAACATAGACAATGCATATTCTAACTCTGATAAATATGTAGAAGATGATCTCCCTGACGAAGAAGAAGCCGCCAATTCTGAAGAGCCTTCAGATAGTGATGAAAGTTTTGAGGAATTCATCAAAAAGACAGCCAAAGAGGATAAGAAAGAAGAAGAACAAGATCTCACAAAGATGACTAAGAGACAAAAGACTAAATATCTTGTTGAAAACAATATCCTCAATGGTAAATTATTTGCCTAATTTATAGAGGTCAAAGAGGAAACAGTTACCAAAAAGTCAGGCAGAATAAATCTTGAAGACGAGACCGTTCTCTATAGTTTAGATTCCAGAGCGAAAAAGCCGATCAGATCAGAAATGAGGCCAAGAATGAGAAAGCATAAAGTAGTCAGTGTCGAAGAGCTTGCAGAAAAGCAAACAGAAGCCTTAAAGAAAATACTAGAGGATATTGATAGAAAAGAGAAAGAAAGAGACAGTAGAAATAAAGAACTCAAAAGATTAAAGAAAGAGAAAGAGAAGATGGATGAACTTGAAGATAGAAGAATAGCAAAACTAAACTGTATCAGAACCCTATCCACCTTGAAAGGAAGTGAAGGACAAGGATGAGATATGAAGGTGTCCACTTCTGTTTCATTCCCAAAGAATTATCAGACTCCAGATATTTTTACCAACAATACCCGACAAACTTCTGAAGAAATTAAAAAGAAGTCAGCAGATTTGAAATGAGACAATTGAGGTAAAAATGAACAGAAATATAAATTTCTCCAAAATATTAATCAAGAGGATTACACTCCAGCTCTTCCACGTAAAATTCAAAAGTTATGCTGCAGTTTTGAGTGTTACAAAATTATCCAGAAAGCTCCTCAAAAGGTATAAGATTTTAAAAGCATTTCCACTTGAATAAAGCGTCTTCAACCATTTGCAATCCAATTGGGGTTTTGGGGTTTTGGGGTTTTGGGGTTTTGGGG